ATTACTGGGCTGCCCAGGGAGGGAAACAAGGACATCCTTGCCTTCGAGGCACAAATAATAGAGTGTTAGAGATGGCAGGCACCCTGAGAAAGGGTTCTCAAACTGTGTTCCCTGGAGCCCTTGGACCCTGGGGTGTGAGAGAAAGGGCTAGAGGGGGCACAGTGCTCCAGCCCTGCCCGTGTTTCAGTCACTCACTGTTATCTCTTCTGTTTGGTGCAGGCAGAACTTTGACTGGAAAAGAGGTTCCACTACTAAAGTAAATATTTAAAAACCAGAGACCTAACCTCACCCCACAATTTTACCAGTGAGGAAACTGAGGCACAGAATGAGAAGTGTTTGCTTAAGGTCCCCCAGCTCAGTTGTGTCAGAGCTGCTGCCTGGGCCTCTGACCCCTGGTCTGTGGAAAAAGAGCCAACACCCCAAGGATGAGGAGGACAATGGCAAAGGGGGGTGCCCCATCAAGCTCTGGGCCTCAGCCACAGCCCCCCTGATATGACCCCAGAGGTGAGGCCTCAGAGCCAGGAACCATGTTGTCCCAAAGGGGCAGCTGCAGATGCTGATCTGGGGTGGACAGGAGGGCAAAGGCTTCCTCCGTCCACTTCCCTGAGCTGCCGAGAGCTCTGCGGGTCTTCAGCCCCGGCAAGTCCTCTCCGACTACCCAGCCCCAGCTCTCCAGTGTGCTGCCCACTACCCCAGGCATTCTCTCAGATGCCTCACCACATGGATCTGGGGAAGGCAGACAAGTGCTTTCTTCCCAGTTTACAGCTGGGGCACCGAGGCACCAGCAGGCAGTGGGCCTGGAATCAAGCCCCTCTGACACAAACCCTGTGCTCTCATCATTATTTCCTGCTACCCCAGCTGCTTCCCCCTGCCCCTGCCCTCGGTGAGTAGTTGCCCTCCTCCCCGCAACACTAGCTCTGTTTACGCTTGTACACAACCCTAGGCTGACTGGCCCACCTTCCGTTCATTGGCTTTAGCAAGCAGAGCCGCCCCAACCAAGATGCTTCATGGGTCTCTCAGCCAGCCCAGAGCTCCCAGCCCTTCGCACAGCCTGGACCCGTCTCTCTCCTATTGAGGTGAACAGAACCACCCCCGGATTGCAGAGAGGGCATGGCCAGGAACTTGGTCCTCCAGCCCCAACTAGGTGGGATGAGGCCAGGAAATCCAAACAGCCTCCCCACACCTGCCCCTTCCCTAAGATACAGCCTACAACTCAGAGCCAGGGTAACCTACCTGTCGTGGCTGGCCCAGGACTCTCCTGGTTAGCACAGAAAGTTCCAGGTCCCATGAAACTCCTCATACCTGGGCAAACTGGGACCACTGGTCACCCTACTCAGCACACCCCACACTCCCAAGGTCATCACACCTTCCCCTTCCCCAACTAATCAAGGTCTTTCTTCTTTCCACAACCCTAGTCTCTGCTGAGGCTACTGGGTGGGACCGCAGTCAGTCCCCTCAACCTGTCTGGCCCCATCGACTGGGCTGGGGCCTACCACAGGCCCACAGTATGGTCAGAGGCTTGGAGTCCACTAGGCGGTGAGCAGAGGGTCCACGACCTCTTAAAGGCCCAGTCCTGCCTTAGGCCTGTGAGATAAACAGTGGAGGGAGGTCAAGAAAGACCTAATGGGATCCTAGGCCTCAATCCAAACCCAAATTTATCCTCAGGCTGGAAGGCAGGCCACTTTGGGGTGATCCTAGGCGGAGCAACCCGAGGGCGGGAGCCAACCAGGGCCAGCTTGGGGCTCACAGAGGCTGCCTTTACCTGTCTGAGTTTGAGGTGAGTCATTTCCTCCCTCAGCTGGTATGAGGCTGAGAAGGGAAGGGAGGGGAAGGCATCTAAAAATAGCAGGGCCCAGACTAGGAGATACCCAAAGACCTTCTCCTTGGGCGAGGGAGGAGCCAGCTTCTCACCCGAGCTGACACCAGCTGTGGCCCCCAGTTAGATGCCTGCATTAGGCCAAGGAGGAGCGTGGCCCTGAGACCCCTTCCCTTCCCAGGCTCAGCATGGGGCGCTGAGGCGTGGAGGAGGCATCCTGAAGGCTGAGACAGGGCAGCAGTGTTGGGGTGGGGTAGGAGCTTGAAGAGAAGAGAGGCCTCCAGCAGACACGGCCTGGGGAGAGGAGGGAGAGTGTGTGACTCGGAAGGCTTGGCCCTCACAGGGGCAGAGGGACAGGATCACCAGCCTGTATTCCCCTCCCACATTGTCTCCACAGAACCATGTTCACTCCCCACCCCTACCCACACACAGAGACGCACACAGGGACACACAGACACAGCCCTCACACTCAGCCTGCCTGTATGAGTCACTTCCCTCCAAATAGGACTCATCTCCCTGCTAAGTGGGACTCGATTTCCCTGGTCAGCAGCATAAAATGAGGACCCACTGTGTGCTTGAGCAACACCCTGGAAGACAAGGAAGCAATGATGATGACTGTCCCTGGCCTTGTGGATACCTTAAGAGGCCCACTCAGGAAAGGGCAGGACAACACCCAGGACAGACAGACAAGAGGCAGGGAGAGCTGTGTGGCAAGACAATCTAGAGTCAGGCAGGCCTAAGTTTTAATCCTGGCTCTGCCACTTTCTGGCCACGTGACCTGAGACAAGTTATTTGACCTCTCCCAACCTCAGTTTCCTCATCTATATAATGGGTGTCATATAAAGCCTTCATCACATGTCAGAGACAGTCATGTATACAAAGCCCCCAAGCAAACAGGGCTGTGTCCATCAAAGCTCATGGTATGAGGCTATCAACTTTTAAAAAACAAAAGACCCTGGGGACCTGCCCCATGGCCTCGTGGTTAAGTTCTGCACATTCCACTTTAGCAGCCTGGGTTTGGTTCCCGGGTGTGGACCTACACCACTTATCAGTGGCCATCCTCGTGGCAGCGACCCACATACAACATGGAGGAAGATTGGCACAGATGTTAGCTCAGGGCTAATCTTCCTCAGCAAAAAACAAAAACAAAAAGACCCTGAAGATTTCAGTACACGTTTCTATCCCAAAGACCCAAGGTAATGAGATTCTACTTGGCCCCAGCTGTGATAGATAAAGGTTGAGGGGCAGCGGGGAAAAGGACCCGCATTTTACAGCAGCAGCGATGGCTACTATTATGAACACTTTACCTTCAACTCATTGTCTCTTTTCCTCACAATAGCCTTCTAAAGCGGGCATTACTCTCCTCATTTTACATGTGGAAAAAATGGAGGCCCAAAGATATTAAGTAACTTACTCAATATCATGCAGCTAGCACATAGCAGAGCCCGGATTTGGACACAAATCTGAGGCAAACTCCTTGTGCATTGTGGTCTGTTGTATCCGGAGTTTGATGAGGGTATACTGATCTCTGACTCTTTCGGGAGAGGGCCTTGGACACCAGCCTGGGGCGACCAGAATGTGCCAAGCCTTTCACCAAGGGCCACCTTCCTTCTGTCTCACCTCCCTCACCCTGGGCGCCCACCAGCCCTCAGGGACCCTCCTAGAAGCACAGAATGTGCTATGCCCTCTCTCAGGATTACCACTTTCACTCCTTTCAACAGCCCAGCGAGGGAAATGCCACAACCCCTGCTTGACAGAAAAGGCAGACAAGTCAAAGCAGTCACTAACCCGCTGGTGGCCACAGAGCTGGGGGAAGCAGAGCCTGGATGGAGCCCTGGCCTCTGGGACTCCTAAGCTGAGGCTCTGTCCCCACACCCCGGCTGTCTGGTGGGGAGAGGGGATTCCTCTGCTCTCCCTGGCTCCTAACACTTTCCCTGAACCATCCCTGTTCCCACCGCTGGATTACATGAAAAACCCAGACCTTGCATCAGCCAGAGGGGTCCTGGCTCTAGTAAGAGGCTCCTCCCGCTTCTCTGGGCTTCCCCACCGCTATCTGACTCATCCTCTGCCGGCCCCAGGAGACTGCAGAGAGGCAGCCTCTTATCCCTGTGGTACAGATGGAGAGACGGAGGCAGGACGTGACTTACTCTAATGAGTCAGGGGCCAAGCTGGCAGCAGCCCAGGTGGGGAGGCCATAGGTGTAGCTGTCATAGCCTGGGTGATGTTCCTGGGGTGCCACACAGTTAAAGAGTTTTTAATCTACAAAGTAGGCACAAACATCAAGAGATTTGCATTGAATGAATGGATGAATGTTGCAGGCCCTGGGTGAAGAAGTGAGGGGGTGAAATTGCAGAAACGAGGAATATGACCCCCCAAAAAAGGATGAATAAAACCCAAAAAACTCAGAAGCCCAGTCTTGCCCCACAGACTCCCTGAGCTTTTAGCTCACGGTTCTTCCCTCTATAAGAATCATCATGGCTACCATCTAGTGGTGAGTCCTAATGACCACCGGGGCTTAACACTTTATAGCCACCATCTTATTCAATCCCTACTACAACGCAATGAGGTTGGTACATACTATCATCATCCCCAATTGACAGGTGATTTATCTGAGGCTCAGAGAGGTTAAGCAACTTCTCCATGGTCAGCCCCTGTTCCAACAGGCATGGGACAACAAATCCAGGGGCTGACTTAGAATAGCTCTCCAAACCCAGTGGGGCAGATGGGCCCCGGCGCGTGCGGCTGCCCAGGTGTGTCTGTGGTTTGGCAACCAGGAACTCGTGTGTCTGTCAGTGCGGGGCGGGGGTGGAGGAACAAGAGAGAACAGAACGGCAATTGCCCAGGGATAATGAGCCACGGCGCCTGGGCGGGAGGGGGGCTTTGGGCAAACCTGCCCCCTGCTCCAGCTGTGTGCCCGCGCCTGCCCGCCCACGTGCGCGCGGCGGCGGGTCAGGCCTGTGCAGGTGCAGTGAGCCTCCAGCACGGCGTCCTCCGTGGAAACCCATCACCAGGAACCCGGAGCTCCAGGGCAAGGGACTAACTGCTGTGGGCGGTCCCGCCAGCGCCGGTGGCCCCCTCCCCCGCCGCGCCGGCCGACGGGCTGCGTAGCACGTTGCCAGCGATTGCCCCATCCGGCCGCATCCGCCTGCGTCCTGCACGTTGCGCACACAGCGCCCTGGGAGGGCGGGCTGGCGGGGCCCCTCCCCTTCCCCTGGCCCAGACCCGAGCCAGACTGGGTCCCCGGCCGCCCATTAACCCGGCCGCTGCCCGGAGCGCCCTGCCAGACACTTTTGATGGCTGCCCTTTGCTCCGTCTGGTCTGAGCGGACAAAAGAGGGAAATTGAGTAAGCCTGCTCAACAAGACAGGAAACTCCTGGCCGCTTTGTTACTTAGGATTTTTCAGCAACTTTTCGGGGCGGGGGTGGGGGGGGGGGGGGGGGGGGGGGGGGGGGGGGGGGGGGGGGGGGGGGTGGAGTCTGGGACGGGACTCCTGGGGAGCTTTCTCGGGTTAAGGAGGTTGGGAACTAACGCAGTCCTCCAGGGGTGTGAGAGCCCTCCAGGCTGGGCTTACTGGCCTCTGCCTCCTGGCCAGGCACAGTGCTTGACACTCATAAGTGGTCCACAAATTCTTGTTCAAATGCATTTCCTTACCCTCCTCCTGCTTTGAGTGGCTGCCAGAAAGAATCCCCAGGTGAAAGGGGATGGGTTTAGGGCTGGACCTGAGGCTGACATTTGGGGCCTTGAGGTTCTGTCTTTGGCATGGGTTTGCTGTTTCACTTGGGCAAATCCCTTGACCTCTCTGGGCCGCATTTCTGTGGGGGAATCAGTAATAGGGTAACCTACGTGGCCTTAAGGTTCACAGGAACAGGGCAGACTTTGAACTCCTAGCAAGTAGGAGACAGAACCTTCCATTTGAAGCAGAGATTTCCTCCCGAACATTAATATTCTCCTGGGTCTTTCCAGGCTGGAGCCACAGTATTCTTTGTCTAGACTGGGTGACATGAATGGCTCTCTGTTGCCTGCAGAATCAGGTCCAAATTCCTTGGCTTGGCATTCAAGGCTTTCTCACATTGATTCTACCCTACCTGTCTATCCTCAGCCCCAACCACACTCCCACACTATAGCCTTAGGAGTAACAGACTTCCCCAAACACACCACACAGTGTTCATTCTTCTGTGCCCTTGTTCATGCTGTTCCCTCTGCCAAGAATGCGCTTCCCTACATTCCTTGAGTGATTAGCTTCTTCCCATATAGATCTCCACTTAAATGGCACCACCCAGAGAGGTCTTTCCTGAGTATATAGTCTAAAGCAGAGCCTCTGTTAGTCCCTCTCAGAGCTTCCTGTTCTCTCTCTTCTTAGCTCTTACTGCGTCTTGTGATGCAGTTTCTCTCTCCACTGGACTGAAAGGTCTGTGAGAAAGAGACCACGTCCATTTTCTTCATCTCCATATGCCTGGCACTTACCAAGGTGCTTGGCACATAGTAACAGCTTAATAAATATTTATGGAAAGGAAGAACAGATGGATGATTGATGAGCAAAAACAATGAGAACAGCCTAAATGTCCACCAGTAAGAGACTGATGTTGTAAGCGATAGCACAGCCGTACAACAGGTACTGTGCAGCCGTTCCATTGATAGACACTGGCGTGGAAAAGTGTTCCAGTGCCTTGAGAAGTGAAGAGAGAAAGTTGGTATCTTTCTAATAAATACTGTCTTTCTAATAAAAAAAATGGAGGGGGTTGGATATAGATAAAGGCATAGATATGTCTGTAGACATAAGAAAAAGTCAAGACAGCATATACCAACCTAAATAGGCCTGAGGAGCAGGATGCAGACATTATCATGGTTTACTGTATGTCTAAAACCTTGCTTAGACATCGTCTTCTCTGGAAGTCTCTGATCCTGCGCTTGTGTAAGAGGACCTGCCTCTGAGCATGCAGCCAGATGCTCCAAAGCAGGACCTGACACTCCATCCTCAGAGTCCAGTCCAGCAGCATGGAAAGACGACAGCAGCTCCTCTGGGTGCGTGAGTTGGTCCACTTGGTGCAGGTAGAAGCCGAACTGGGGCGGACAATGATGATGAAAGAACTGACAGCCTATCTCCACCTGCCGGGTGACATTGCTGCAGGTGGCCTTGGGCTATCAGCAGAGCCAAAATGTGACAGGAAGCCTGGCCTTAGTGCAAGGCTGGGCCCAGCCTGCTCACTTCCACGTTCGGGACCCTCAGCCTCGGCTGTGGGAGGCGCACAGGGCAGCTTCTCCCTCCCCTCAGGGTGCCTTGAAGTCAAGAAGGGTCAGATGCAATTTGGTGTGAGCAAAAGGCCTCCTGCCCACCTGCCCACTTGCCCGCTGTTTGTCCCACAACAGCCCCCCTGAGACCTGGAACAACGCAGTTCAGACCAGGTGGGCCAGGGGAGAAGTGGGAAGAATGGCCAAGGGCTCGGTGTCGGAAGTCGGAGCTTCTGTTCCTACAGATGCTTCTCCTTCTGCTGGTCAGGAAGCAGAAGAGAGTGCAAGCCTTCGCCTTCATTTTAAGTCCCCTGTCTCAATCTGTCTCTCTTCCCCTGCCTGTTTCAGAACAGGTTCCCCACCTGGAAAATCATAGAGTGGTGCAGGGGTGGGCTCTCCATTCTGCAGTTACCCAGTAGTTTCAAGTTCATACTTACCAGCCATGTGACCCTGGACAACTGGCTTTACCCCTCTGTGCCTCAGTTTCCCTAGTAAATTACTTAATGCATGGCAAGTGTTTAGAAGTAGGCCTCATACGCATAAGTGTATCTGTTGGCTATTATCTGTGTGGCCAGGATAGTAACAGTACCTGCTTCTTGCAGCTGTTGTGAGGATTAAATTAGATAATGCATGTGAAGTGTATAGCTATGTTAAGCGTTTACTTGTCTTACTAAAGATAGTAAGATGGGAGTACAGAACTTGGTCCCTGAGATGCCGGAGGATTAGCATGGTAGCTGCTGGTAGCTTCCTGGGAATGGAGTACAGGGCCTTCTGTGGCCCAGGCCGCCACGTTGGTTCGATGGGGTTGCCATGCTGGGTGATGCTGAGTGTCTGGTTAGTCAACTGCTTGCTCACTCAAACCCATTTAAACCAGCTTCATCTGGCCTGGCTTTCCCAACACACCATCCTGGCTGGTGTCACAGGCCAGAGCACTGGGCAAAGTGTCAGGCCTCTGCAAAATACATTGGAACTTTATCTGACCCTTGGCTCCTGTCCAGGCCAGAAATACATTGACTGGAACTTGCAGCTAAGCTTGAGCAAGCCTGAGGGCTGCAGGAGGAAGGCAGCCTGGGATCACGGACCAGATGTTCCCCGACACACGCCGTCCTTATTGGCCCCCCTTTTTATTTGCACAGTTCTACTAATTAATGCTGTTCCTAGTTGTGAAGTGTTATTTAAAACCCAGGGCAGAATCCTGAGCCGTGGATTTGCAGAGAAGGGAGAGGAAGAGGACCATTCCCCCAAAACTCAGGGACGGTCACAGCGGTGCTGTCCTCTTTTTCTTCCCTCAGGGTCGTCTTGCTGCAGCCTTTTTGGAGGCCGAGACAGTCCTCTGTGCCGCTGTCTGGAATTCCCCAGAAAGAGCCAGTGACGATGACAGCAGTGGCAACCAGGCCAGATTGGAACCTGGCCCAGCTTTGGAGCCGGCAGGGAGGTCACAGGCAAGTGTAGCAGGTCCCAGGCCAACAGGTCTTCCCGCAGGTACTCCTCAAAAGGCCAGTGTCTTAGAATAAAAGGAATTCCAGGAGTGCCCACCCTCAGCGTGCGTTTGAACCTTCAGTAGAGCTAGCTGGCTAATGACAGGAAACAAGGAAAAGAAATGCCCGGAAGAGTTTTAGACATTGGATTACATTTTCGAGAGTTCCAAAATGTCCCATTACACAGGTAATATTGTCAAGACCCTAAGCCTCACAGATTTGGAATTCTTTGGATTCAGAGTTTTTGAAAAATCAGCTTGGTCAAATTTGAGTATGGACTGGATATGAGATGATATTGTGGAATATTGTTAGTTTTCTCAAATGTGAGAATTGCAACGTGGTTATGTAGGAGAACAGTCTTTTCCTAGGAAATTCATACTGAAGTGTTTGGGGGTGAAACATCATGATGCCAGCAACTTATTTTCAAATGGTTCACCAGAAAATCTTAATACAGATAAAGCAAATGTGGCAAAAGGTTCACAATCGTTGAATCTAGGTGGAGGGTGTCTAGGTGTTCATTGTGCTGTTCTTACCACTTTTCTGTATGTTTGAAGACTTTCTCAACAAATTATTAAGGGAAAACATTTAAATAAAACAAGCTATTCAGATGCAAAGCAAGACAATATGGAACTCAGCTGGCTCCACCTGAATTTTGCGTCTTCTCCTGGGATAGAAACAGTAGAAGCAAGATGGCATCCAGGATTGCAGAGTTCAGCCAACCAAAGAGAACCAGCTATTTTTAAAAAGTTTATTAAGTACTTGTCTGGAAACAGTACTGATCGTTAAAAATCCTCTTAGTTCATGACCAGGAGAGGACTCACCTTGGAAACTGGGAGATTCCAAGTTTAACACAAGTCAAGAAACACATTTTGAAGACCTACTATGAGCAAAACCCTGAAACTTCACAAAAGGTGTTTTTTCCCCGGCCTGTAATCTGATCTTGAGTCCGAGGTGGCCACAATTTTTTTTTTATTGTGGTTTGTGTCCTGAGTTGTGTCCCTGCAAAACTCAGAAGTTGAAGTCCTAATCCTCAGGACCTCAGAATGTCACTTTACCTGGGAATAGGGTCGTTGCAGATGTCCTTAGCTAAGATAAAAGCAATAGGGTGGACCCTGATCCAATCTGACTGGTGTCCTTATAAGCAGGGGCAATTTGGGGGGCCATCCCCGTGGCACAGCAGTTAAGTGCACACGTTCCGCTTTGGTGACCCAGGGTTCTCCAGTTCTGATCCCAGATGCGGACCTATGCACTGCTTATCAAGCCATGCTGTGGCAGGCATCCCACATATAAAGTAGAGGAAGATGGGCATGGATGTGAGCTCAGGGCCAGTCTTCCTCAGCAAAAAGAGGAGGATTGGCAGCACATGTTAGCTCAGGGCTAATCTTCCTCAAAAAAGGGGGGGAGTGCAATTTGGACACACAGAGATACACACACAGGGAGAACACTATGTGAAGATAAAGGCAGAGATTGGAGTGAAGCTTCTACAAGCCAAGAACACCAAAGATTGCCAGCAAAGCACCAGAAGTTAGGGGAGGCATGGAATAGATTCTCCCTCACTGAAGGAACCAACCCTACTGATACCTTTATTTGGACTTCTAGCCTCCAGAACTGTGAAACAATACATTTCTGTTGTTTAGGTCACCCAGTTTGTGGTAATTTGTTATGGCAGCCCTAGTAAACTAACACAGTGGTAAAACAAACATACCATCAAATTTTTGTGGTTTTGGTTTGGGTTTTGGTTTTTTTTTTTGGTGAGGAAGATTGGCCCTGAGCTAACATCTGTTGCCAATCTTTCTTCTTTTGCTTGAGGAAGATTGTTGCTGAGCTAACATCTGTGCCAACCCTCCTTATTTTGTACGTGGGGGTGCCACCACAGCATGGCTTGATGAGCAGTGTGTAGGTCTGCAACTGGAATCTGAACCCGCCAACCCCAGGCCGCCGAAGCGAGCATGCAAACTTAACCACTATGCCACTGGGCTGGCCCCCCAAATTACTATTTTAACCATTTTAAATGTGTGCAATTCAGTAACATAAGATGCATTCACATTGTAGTGCTACCATTTTTTATTTTTAGCTAGGGCAAACCCCCAAATTATGGGAAGGGTGGAAGACCTCATTCCATATCTGCTTCTGCTCAGCTCAGTGGTCTGTGTCACCTTGTGTGCAGTGGAGAGACAGGGCAGACAACTTCCTGCTCAGATGTTATCATTGCCCATATGTGGAGAAATTATAATAGCAATAATAGCTCACAATTTACTGAGCACTTGTTATGTTCCAAGACCATACTAAGGGCTTTACAAGGATTATCTCTTTTAATAATCACAATAACTTTATCAGAGAGGCATCATGAGTCCCATTTTACAGATGGGGAAATTGGGCCTCAAAGAGATTAAGTGCTCAGTTTTGGCAGCCCTGGGATTTGAATGCAGGTCTTAACCACTGTACATACTGCTTTCTAGATCTTTTGGTCACACTGGCCTAGGAGAAAATAAAAAGCATAAAATACTGATCAGATTGACACATCGCTTGTGTTTGTGCCAAGTCAGCCAGCTGCCCTAGAGCCCCCATTGCACATGTTGTCACACCACGAGCCTGGCTCTCCCATAGCCCCATGTCCTGGGGAGGGAGTCTGAAAAGTCCAAGAATTCTAAATTCCAACTTGATTTTCCGGGTTGTTCTGAAGGTGTATTTATAGAGGTAGGAAAATAAAACATTTTATTTGACTGCTTATTAGCTTGATTTGTAAATTTTGAATATTTAGACATGTGGTATATGGGTTTCCATTTGTCCCCAAAGGCTAGAGACAGCCCATTTGCCATGTTTCCCCTGAGCCAACAGCTCTCCAGTGGCCTCCCAGTGGTGGCCAAAGCTTGTAAGTCCCTTGGAGTAAAAGGGAGAAGCCACAACCTCTGAGCATGGACCAGGCCAGGATTTGCCCTCCACCAGTTTCACCTGTTTCCATCAAGGGGCAGGAAGTAAGTGGCCACAGCGGGGGGGGGAGAACTCCAGCTCACTCAAATGGCCTGACTTGATGCTCCACCCACTTCAGAATCTGCTTCTCTGTAACAAGGCACCCACCCGCTCAGCTCAGATTTTTCTCAATCCTCAAATCTCATTTGTTTTCTATCCTTTGCATACATCTCTCTGTTTCCCAGCATAGAAAAGGCTAGAACAGGTTTGCTGACCATGGAAGAGGAAAGATAGGGTTGAAGAGACAAGACAGGAAGGGTCCTGGAGAAGATTACAGGGTGATGGGGAACACGGGGAAAGGGCTAGGGACCTTTAGCCTCCGGGGGGAAGCGAGGGGCCAGGAGAAGATGGGTAAGCCAGAGGGATCCGCCCTGCAGAGTGGTCCTGCGGGGAAGAGCCGCAGTGCCTGATGGAAGGAGTGGTCTGAAGGGCTGAGGCCCCCAGGTGTGGCAGAGATGGGCCAGTGCGGCCTCTTGGGCAGACTGAGCCCCACAACGCAGGCAAACTGAAAACACTGACTCCGCTTAAGGAGGGAACAAGGAGATGAGGGAAGGTGGAAAGCAGCTAACAACGCCCAAGCTTGGCTGCTGCCCCTTCAGATCCCTTTCTCCCACAAGGCCCTGCAGCCGTGCTGGGACTGCTGGGCTTCCAAAGCACCATGGTAACCTCTTCCCTGTGGCCTGCACAGCAAGCCCGTGGGCTTCGCCAGGCAGTCATTACACCCATTTCACCAGTGAGGACGTGAGAAACAGACAGGTGGTGTGCCTTGCTCAAGGTCACACAGCCAAGAAGCTGTGAGCATGAGTGAGGGCAAGGGCCAGGTGTGGGAAAGGAAAACCAATGGCCAGATTCCAGAGAGGATGCAACAGTACTTGTCATCCTCACCATCAGAGCTCCATTGATTGAGCACTTAGTGGATGCCTACTCTCTCACCTAACCCCGGAGCCTATGGGAAAAACCCTATAAGGTAACTATTACTCCCATTCTACAGGTGAGGCATCTGATGCCCAGAGGGGTTAAGTCAATTGCCCAAGGTCACACAATAGCAAGTGATGAGATTGACAGCCTAGGTCCAAGGGCAGAGTATGTGCTGGCCTGGTCCACAAGTGTGAGCCTGTGCCATGAGTACACATGAGAAAATCCCACAGAGGACACGTGTCGTGCGAGATGGAGGGCTCAATTCCAAGCAGCAGGCAACAGCTGTGTTGGCAGGAAGGGTTGAGAATGTGTGTGTGAGTACAGCTTTGACAGCGGCAAACAGTGCGTGGGAGTGTTGACGCCAGGGTGTGGGATGGTAGCGCCATCACCATGTGTGTTTCTGCTGGCAGCAGAATGTTCTGGTCTGTGTTGATAAACAACAGTTTGGGCTGGAGCAGGGACAGAAGACAAGCACTGAGGGCAGGTGAAGGCAGGAGGGAGGGGACGTGCCTGGGGCTGATGGTGGCCCAGAATGAGGGGCGGCAGGGTGACAGCTGTTGTTATCTCAGCTGACCTCACTGGGTGCGCATGTCTGGGTGTGGATCCCTCTGCAAACCACCTGATGCCCATAAACATGAAAAACAGGAGCGGGGACACACTGTGAGGAAGAGAATGTTCTTCCTGGAATGCTAGTTGCACCAATAGAGGTTTAATCAACAGCTGAAACCAGTGCAAACACATCGTGATTCCCGTGGCCAGGCAGATTCCTCAAAAGTCAGCTTCTTGGAAGAGGCGGCGCTCCCCAGACTCATGACTGTAATCGGAGGCGCTGCAGCTCACAGGTGCAAGTCTGCAAGGGCATCTCAACCTGGGAGCCACCACAGGAAAGACTCTCTGGGGCTCAGCTCCCACCCCATCACTCCCCCAGCAGGTCCTCCCATCAGAATGCTCCCTCCGCCTGCTCCCTCTCCATTAGCTGAACTGTATGCTACCTCCAAGACCCTGGGTATTTCTCACTTCCTGCTGGAAGTCTTCCAAACCACACCGGGAGGGCCATAGCACTGCCTCCTTCAGCACTCCAACCGCTGTTGTTGCCAGGGCTCCACCCACAGGCCTCACCATGGGGGTGTTGCCCGGACATCTATTCTGTGCAGGACACTGAACTGGGCACAACGGGGGCTATGAAGACCCCTGACGACTAAGTAGCTGCCCTCAAGGATCTTACAGCTCTCAGTTGGGGTACACAGAGGGCAGAAACACCAATAAGGGTGTGAGAAGGGCTGAGTGAGGGTACATGATTAAGGTGGTGGGAAATCAGCAAGGAGCGCCGTCACTCCTGATTCGGAAAGGAGAGGGACAGTTCACTCAGGAACAAGGGGGCAGCCTTGCCCAGTGAGTTTCAGCTCCTTGAGTTCGGGGACCTCTTGAAGCCAACACGTGGTATCTGTTAAATCAGTGCCTGTGGTTGCTTGACTGAAGGTCTCCCAACCACCGCCTGCAATCCTTGTTTGGGGCCTGGAGGCTCCCCTGCCCTCCTGCCCTCCTCCCTCTGTGGGGTTGAAGGAAGGAAGCCCTGGCCGGCCGCGCTGGTGGAGGAGGTTGGCGCTACTCTTTCCTGTTCTGGTGGCTGCTGCCTTCTGATCAAAGGCCTGTTATTCCCCAGGGTTGGGTATCGCATGCTTGCCTTGCTGCAGTTTCTCAGCCCTTCTTGTCCACCAGAGTTCAC